GCAAGCTCTGCATATGAGAAGTTAATATGCTTTTTTTTTTTTTTTTTAACGAAGAAGTTAATATGTTTAGATTGCCCACAATGTGGAATTCAACATTTACTATGTTGGAAGTAGCCATAAAGTTTTAAAAGGCCTGTGAACATTTTTTATGTTGCATTGCTTTTTAGGTTGAACAATTTATGTTTTTGGTTTGAAGGCATTTTGATTTGAACTAAACTTTGTATGACTTTATTATGGTTACTTGAACTTGAACTTCGCTTTTCATTTGGGTTGTACTAATTTCATAAAACATTTCGGTTGATGATGCTTGGTTGTGAACATTTAATTGAATGTTTGATGTGGCATGAAATGGATGGATGAAATGGAATGGTTGCATCTTGCAAGAAATGGATAGATGGATGAAATTCTTGGTTGTGAACGTTTATTGAATGTTTAACTGAACATTTGGTTGTACTAATGCCAATATTTGAATGGATGAAATGGAATTTAGGGTCGAACTCATTTTAATTAGCGAGAACATTTTTTTGGATGAAATGGAATTTGGGGTCCAACTATATCTACTAGCAGGTCCCTTTTTTATAACTACCAGGATCCTTCTTCACCCCAATACCAAAAATTGGGCCCACACAAACAAAACTGAAAAACCTGTAAAATTTGCTACACCACATGATACTGAACCGAATCAATATCTAAATGTTTTTGGGTTTTGGTTTGGGTTCCACTCCCACACCATACGATACCGCACCGTGGCCAGAGCCAATACACACCCTTATTAGCCTCCAACATATCCCTGTTATTTTTATTTAATTTATTCAATTTGATAGCTCATCATAAAAAAAGAAAAGAAAAAAAAAAGGATGCGCAAGGTAGATTTGAATGTTTGATGGTTATACATCAAAATCCTGTTTTAAGCAATGTGAGCACTATCAAAGAGAATCAAATCCGCTGCAGATGCAGATATGATCATTTCATGTGTTATGTTCTATTCTACTCTACTCTAATCTACGCTAAATTTACGAGCAAGGAAATTCGATCATGAACCATTAAAAGAGAAGCATACTGAGACTGCTTTGGTCCATTGTGCATGCCAAATTCTGCGCAGATGATTACAATATGTTTAATCTAATTTAAAAGATGAGACCACCAATATGCATATTTTTCGATCCTCCCATGTTGATTGTGGAATCTCTCAGAAGACCTGCTTGGATGCATGCAAAGGATCAGAATTACTATTTTCATTCGTATTTTAGACACACACACTCCATTTTCAGACTTTGATAAAAAAGGAACATAAATTTGGAGAAACCCAAACAGCAGCCATCAAGAGAGGCATATCACTTCTTATTTTGAGGACTTCAACCTATAAAAGCTCTCCATTCTCTCCCAAAGACCACTTCCAATTCTCTTGCTAAAATTTTCTAAAATTCTCAAACACTTTCTCTGTAAATTCTAACTTTGGTATCGGAGGTTCTTCGGCCAAAGCCCCCCCCCCAATTCATCGTGGGCGCGTGAGGCTCTTGGCCTTGACCAAAGGTGTTAATTGTTTTGTAGGTGCAATTTTGTCCCAGATCAAGGAGGAAGAAATTTGCATCCACAGGCTCCACTTCAAAAGTAACAAAATCTTGTAACTCGAACAAAAAAACGTCTAGAAAAACTCAACCGGAGTCAGAGCTTAGAGTTGCTCCGAGTTGGAAGTTCAAAACTCGTTTATTTTAAGATCGGTTGGTACGAATGGGTTCGTGAGGATGAGTGGAGCACGATGGTGGTGGTTTGAGGGTCAATCTGTGAGGCTTGATGTTGGTCCTTGTTGTTGCAGAGAAGAGAGAGTTACGGGTGAAGGAGAGAGAAAAAGAAGATGAAAGAGAGAGAGACATGCTTTTTTGATTGGCTGATAGGAGGAAGGAGGGATTTTCTGATTGTTTGAAAAAGTGAAGGTGTCTGATTGGGGGAGAAAGAGTGGGAAAACGTTTGATTGGTGTGGATGGTAAGTCACGGACAGGTTTTTAAAAAGAAAAAGAGATAAGGTTTTGTACAACTGAAATCACGCGAAATCTAACGTAAATTATCGAAAACAGTAGTTTCCAACACTGAATAATTAACACATACGTGTACAAATCTAGCCGTTGTTAACGCACTTTAACTAAGCGTAATATTTTTGTTTAGGTCTAACTCGCTCTCACGCACTCGTAACAACGAGTACTATTTAATTACAATAACGAGAAAATAATTTAAAAGCCGAATAACTACGTCCACGTCAGGTTCCACTTTTACCAAACAGGACATAAACGTCAATTTACACACTCGGGGAGAAAATTACATGAAAAATTAGGGACGGGTCGTCACACGTTACCGACAGTGGAAGTATGACATAGCCTGACATAGAGAAGCACCACCAGCAGGGTAGTTTTTTTTCGATGTTATGGACAAATAAATTAGTTTTATAATTATGTATTTGTGGACAATATAATTATTTAATTTCTATTAGGAGTAACAATTTAATATGGACTTTAAGTATTTATTCTCTTTGAAGATTCGGTTGACAAGTCTTTGGTATGTTGTCCCTGCATTTTTTCGACCAAAGAGCATAACCTTGGAACAGTACATACCTCGGTCAATAGCAAAGAATGTTGCTTCCGTATCTGGCTCGTACATCTTTATCTGGTTGTACCCAAAGTAGGCGTCCATAAAACTTTGTAGTCATGGCCTGGGGTCGAGTCCACCAGAAGGTCGATCCGTGGGAGCATTAAGGGTCGTGGTGCTATTTTGTTTTTCTTTCAAATCCTCTCACACACACATATCCTGCATATAAATCAATCAATATATCAATAAGTAAACTTGTTTGTCACTTTGTAGTGCTAAATTACAATATTTCCTCTGAATGTAACTGTGTTGATATATGCTTGCTAGCCAGTGCTTATTCGTCCTATCAGTCGTTGGATTTTTAAATTAGGTTCAAATATTATGCATATGCTAACTTCATGTCCATTGTATTTGTGTGTGATTGTTTATTGCAGGTTTCGGACCCCGTGAAGGAGCCAATGGATTTGGAAGAAATTTAATCGGGAGGAGCTGAAAGTGAGGCTGAACTTGGAAGTGAATGAGATGGTGAAGAAGATGAGGTAAGTGATTATCATCTCCTAGACAGTAAACGTAGTTGGGTTGGAGAGCACTTTAAATCGTATGAGGTTAAGACCCTAGTAAGCGTCAAAGATGAAGGAGGAAATCTTGTAAAAGATGAAAAGGGAAAAACATTAATGGTTGAAGAAGTAAAACTTAGAGCTAAATGCATCTATCGCCCCAAAGATAGAAGAAATTCGGGTGATTATACAGCCGATCCAATTGTAAATGGGACGTACGGCATAAGAAAACATCTTGAAAGACAATTTAGATAGTACCCCGTAAACATGAATAAAAATAAAAATAAAGTCTTTTTGGGGATAAGAAAGCGGGTAAAAAGTTGGTTGCAGGGGTGTTTAACCAATTCGATTATTTGGAAGGATGTGTAGATATGATTGTTATTGATGAGATGCCCTTTAATACCGTTGATAAGATGGGGTTCGATAGGTTTTCTAGTGTTGCAATTGTATTGCTTTGTGTGCTTTCTAGGACTCTTGTTAGAACTTTTTTAAGAATGTATGACTAACCTAAGGCTAGTTTGAAGAAGGAATTAAATGCTCACCGAATTTCTCTTACACGGACACTTGGACAAGCACTTGAACATGAATTATATGGTCCTCACCACACCCTTTATTGATGACAAATGGAATATGCGCAAGAGGATCATTAATTTTTGTGTTATTCCTAACCAATACGAAACCACAGTAGCTAAGTTGATTGAAACTTGTTTTTGAATGGGACATAAATAAAGTACTCAAAATCACGGTTGACAATGCTTCGCAAATAGTTGCGTTGGATCCACTTAGGTCAAAGATGAATAGGTGGGAAATTCACAAGTCATTTTGAGTGGGGAGTATTTACATGTGAGATGTACAAGTCACATAACCAACTTAATTGTGAGTCAAGGGATGAAGAGACTAACCAAGGCCTTTTATCCGTAAGTAATTGTGGGAGGTTTTTGAGGAGTTCTCCACAAAGATTAGAGTATTTCAAGCAAGCTCTGCATATGAAGAAGTTAATATGCTTTTTTTTTCTTTTTTTTTTTTTTTTAACGAAGAAGTTAATATGTTTAGATTGCCCACAATGTGGAATTCAACATTTATTATGTTGGAAGTAGCCATAAAGTTTAAAAAGGCCTGTGAACATTTTTGATGTTGCATTGCTTTTTAGGTTGAACAATTTATGTTTTTGGTTTGAAAGCATTTTGATTTGAACTAAACTTTGTATGACTTTATTATGGTTACTTGAACTTGAACTTCGCTTTTCATTTGGGTTGTACTAATTTCATAAAACATTTCGTTTGATAATGCTTGGTTGTGAACATTTAATTGAATGTTTGATGTGGCATGAAATGGACGGATGAAATGGAATGGTTGCATCTTGCAGGAAATGGATAGATGGATGAAATTCTTGGTTGTGAACGTTTATTGAATGTTTAACTGAACATTTGGTTGTACTAATGCCAATATTTGAATGGATGCAATGGAATTTAGGGTCGAACTCATTTTAATTAGCGAGAACATTTTTTTGGATGAAATGGAATTTGGGGTCCAACTCATTGTAATGTCCTATATCATACTAGCAGGTCCATTTTTTATAACTACTAGGATCCTTCTTCACCCCAATACCAAAAATTGGGCCCACACAAACAAAACTGAAAAACCTGTAAAATTTGCTACATGATACTGAACCGAATCAATACCAAAATGTTTTTGGGTTTTGGTTTGGGTTCCACTCCCGCACCATACGATACCGCACCGTGGCCAGAGCCAATACATACCCTTCTTAGCCTCCAACATATCCCTGTTATTTTTATTTAATTTATTCAATTTGATAACTCGTCATAAAAAAAGAAAAGAAAAAAAAAAGGGATGCGCAAGGTAGATTTGAATGTTTGATGGTTATACATCAAAATCCTGTTTTAAGCAATGTGAGCACTAACAAAGAGAATCAAATCCGCTGCAGATGCAGATATGATCATTTCATGTGTTGTGTTCTATTCTAATCTACTCTAATCTACGCTAAATTTACGAGCAAGGAAATTCGATCATGAACCATTAAAAGAGAAGCATACTGAGACTGCTCTGGTCCATTGTGCATGCCAAATTCTGCGCAGATGATTACAATATGTTTAATCTAATTTAAAAGATGAGACCACCAATATGCATATTTTTCGATCCTCCCATGTTGACTGTGGAATCTCTCAGAAGACCTGCTTGGATGCATGCAAAGGCTCAGAATTACTATTTTCATTCGTATTTTAGATACACACACTCCATTTTCAGACTTTGACAAAAAAGGAACATAAATTTGGAGAAACCCAAACAGCAGCCATCAAGAGAGGCATATCACTTCTTATTTTGAGGACTTCAACTTGGACGAGGATTTGGATTCAGCAGCAGCTCTAACAAGCTTTGTTGGCTTGATCACGCTCTTCGGGTTCAGAGCCTTGCTCACCTTGAACACGGCCCAAGCTGCCCCTATAGCGTGCCCTGCGGCATCAAGCCCTTCATTCGTGACCTTCCCTGCCGGTTCTCCGTACCTGCAATGAAGAACGCATCACATGTAGGTCAGCCATTTGATTCCCTTAGTTGACAATACACACACACACACACACACACTGAAACTGAGAAGGATTCGATCAAATAAGTAAAAGTTCATGGTCACATTAAGAATTACCTATGTGAAACAAGCCCAGTGGTGACGACCGATGTGGTAGACATGACGTTCCTTCCCGCAACTTCCACAGCATCACAGACCTTGTCTGTGTTTTCAAACACAAACAGCAAACTTGAGCACAAGAGAAATGTGACTAGTCCTATTTGCTAAGATTGCAACTAGTCCTATTTGCTAAGATTGCAACTTGCATAATTTCTTGCTCAGCAGCTCCATATCTCAAATATCAAAATCCAAAAACAAAACATGTAGAGCTCAAGCAAAGGACTTACTGAATCCATCCAAGGAAGCAAGGATGATTTCTCCAGGCAAAAGGCTAAAAAATTTCTGCCCCACTTTAGAGTTAACTATCGAACTCGTGAAAAATCCAGATACTTTGACAACCCCTGAAAGGATCCCGGTGGCCACTTTCTCCGACCTCTTGGTCAACTTCTTAACCCTGAAATTTGCAAATACATTAATGGATGTTGGCCTTGTACCGCTGCATACTAAAAACAGGGTGGTTCTAGTATCAAAGTTTGACAACACTGAGAACTAACACTCGATCACCGAAACTCACCCCGAAACTAAGAAGCTGAAAATCATCTACTCTAATTTTAGGAGAGATGGGGAGACCCAACCCAGCAGGCAGCAGCTGCCTGGACCACGCCTTTCGGTCTCATTGAGCTCTCCAATTGAGGTCAATCAGTTGGAACAAGTATCATAATTGTTACCAAAATCAAACGGGCAGACGCAAAAACTTTAAAAGACAATTCTGTTTAATTAAAAAACACACCTTTGGATCCTCCTGAAGGCCTCCGGACTAATCTCCGATGGCGAAGTGGGTCCTATCCTCATCTTCAAGAACTCGTTCCCCCACTTCAACCTATCCACCGTCACATCCCCACACCACAGAATTCCCCTTATCATCTGCCCCGAACCCGCCGCAATCAACCGCGCACATTTCCCGCTGTAATCCTCCACATTCGGAGCCAGAGTAGTCCAGTACGCCGCGGCCCTATCGCCAACCTCCTCCCCCTTGGCGTCCAAAACCTCCCAATTCCCCACCCCCTCAACCTTCCCCTCCGAAAAACAACTGTAATTCCCCAGAATCTGATCAAAGTCCCTCAGCAAACCCTCCTGCCCCGCTGACCCGAAAGTCAACCCGTAATTCAGCAACTCGAATTCGCCTATCTTCCCGGTCGAGTCGTCAATTTCACCTCTTTTTGGCGACCCATTTGCGGGGACCCGAAGAGTGAAGAAGTAGTGGGACTGATCGAGCTTCACGGAGGGTTCGTCTTTCGCCAGAGGCCACTGAATCTGGTCTCCCACGCGCGCGAGTACAGCGACTACATTCCCGTTCTGCCGGAGACCAACGACGGTAAGTTCGCCGCGGGCAATTTCGATGCTCGAGTCCTTCTCTATAAGGTGGACGATAGCGCCTGGTATTTTGACCAGGAGGTCCTCGGAGGAATGGGTAACAGGGATTTCTGTTGAAACAGCGTTGTCTTCCGGGAAGAGGTTCTCGGCGAGGTCGTTCACGTCGACCGATGGGTAAGAAGTGGGTTTTGAAGCGGACATGGTCTTAGGTTGGTAAGAAGTCGGTTCTGAGATTTTGAATGTTGGTGGATTTCGGGTTGGGGAATATATAACTGCCAGATGTGGGGGTTTTAGGGAAGGAGCAACCTTGGGTTCTAAGTAATGGAGGGCGTGTCGGTAAGGACGACGAGGGAGATGCCGGGACACGTGGCGACAGCTGGACTTGCCGCGTAATCACCGTGGGTGGTTGATGCTGTGATAAAGACTAAAGTAACTGTATGTTTGCCACGTTCAACTTGGGACTTTGCGTATTAAGAACGAAGTTTATATTGGAATAAATAGGAAACTCTTCATCAATTAATTTAGATACGACAAGAGTTTGGCTATAGTAAAATAAATGATAAAATTAATAATACAATTATTAATTTTTTAATGTAATAATATGGTTTCTCGTTAAAATGAATAATATCGTGAGCTTTTCGTTAAAACTCCTTAATGTTAATGGGCAGTTTCTTCTCAAATACTTTATATTATGAATGTGTAATGGGAAACAAAATTTTTTAAAACTAAACAATCTTGTGTGACATTCCAGTCTTATCCTAAAATTTATGTTTTTGGCTTGTGTTGGGAGAGTAACAAATACGAGAGACTCTATCCCTATGTGACGTTAAAGTCAGTAAAGACATTATTAAATTTAGAAATACTCACATACTTCATTTCAAAATTTATGTTTTTACCTATTGGTTTTTCTCATGTTGAGTTGGACAAAGGGCTGGAAATAGGGGTAGAGGGAAGCCAATTGAGCGAAGTTAGGTGGATTCTCGGGTGGGTCGCAGGTTGCTCCGCCTTTTCTCTTCCTTTTCTTATATTTGTTCATCGAGTTTGAAAATGTTGGTTTGACATTGCTAAAATTATTTTAAAAATAATTTTTTTTTTTTAAAGTTAGGGCTAAAATTGTGTTCGGTGAATGAAAAAAATAAAAGTGTTTTTTTGTTAAAATTATGGGTCCAAAACAGTAGAAATAGAAGCAGCTCTACCATTACTTCTGAAAACAATATTTTTTTTTCATAGCATCACAACCCCGAACTAGCCTTAAGGGTGCATTTGTTGCACAAGATTATCTCGGACTGGACTAGCTTCAAGTACTAAGTTGAAGACTAAGTTGGACTATCTTTGTGAAGCATTTGATGCAGTGTCGGACTAAAAAGCAGGATAATGAAAATAATAATAATCAATTCTGCTTTTTTTTTCTTTTTCTTTTTCTTGTTCTATAACACTCTCTCTGGACTAAGAAACCTCTCTCTTCCCTCAGCCTTTTTTCCGTCCAAATTCCACAACTCTGGACTACGAATCTCTCTTCCTCTCCCTTTTTTTCGTCCAAATTCCACAACTTTCTCCCTCCATTTCAATCAATAAAGCTTCCAAATCACAAAATGCAACACAATCACAAAATTCAATTGAAATCAAAATCAAAATCGCAGCTGAGTCTTCTGTATTCGTGACGGTGACGCTCTGATTCCGATCCCGACTTAAGTCTAGGTCACGAACCAAGATCGACTAGTCAATAATCTCATCTCCTCGAGCTTGGAAATCACCAGGTCAAGTCAAAGGATAGAAGATAGATAGAAGAGAGGACGCGAGGAGAGAGGGAGAGGATGTGATTCTGGGACGCGAGCAGCCATGAGAGAACAAGAGAAGTAGATAGAGGAGGTGACAGCAAAGTGAGGTGTCGTAGCTAGTCCCATGGTTTTGGAGTGCACACGCTAAGACTAGTTAGCCCCGTTTTTAGTCGAGGCAAGTCCTCACTAGTACCACTAATGTTAGTCCCGAGAGCAAATAAACACAGATTGCACTAAATCTTTAATCCAATCCAATCCAATGAAAGCTAAAGAAGGCAAACAAACGCACCCTAAAAGTATAAAGCTTAGAGCAATTCTACCCCTAAAGACTTTGTGCTAGCACCTAGCCCATTTATCCACTCAATGAATAGTAATAGACCCCAATGAACAGTAATAGGCTAAAGCATCTCCACCCCTAAAAAAATGCATTGGCACCCATTCTAAAAATGCACTAGCACAGACGATCTCCACCCTTACAAAATGCGCTAACACCCAGCCCATTTAAAATATTAATAATTGTTTTATAAAATAATAAATAAAAAATAGTTTTAATTTTGGATAGGATTTTTAACCAATCTCGTCATGCCACGTATCATTATCCAAATGTACTATTTTGTGAACAGATTTCCGCTAAGATTTTCAATCAATCCCGCCACGCCACATGTCACTTCCTGTTTATAATAATTTAGCTAAGATTTCAATCAGATTTTCAACCAATCTTGTCACGCCACATGTCATTATCCGAACATACTATTTTGTGGATAGATTTCTGATAAGATTTTCAATCAATCCCGACGCGCCACATGTCACTTCCTGTTTACAATAATTTAGCCAAGATTTCGATAAGATTTTCAACCAATTTTGTCACGGCACGTGTCATTATCTGAATGTATTATTTTGTCGATAAATTTCTGATAAGATTTTCAACCAATCTCAACGCGCCACGTGTCACTTCCTATTTACAATAATTTAGCCAAGATTTCGATAAGATTTGCAACTAATCACATAGTGACACGTGACATTGTCCAGAGCCTCATCCTTTCTTTTTTTTGTCCATATAAACCCTACATACCTACATCCAAAACCTCAATCCTTTTTTTTTAGCTCAGAATCCTTCTTCATCGTTTTCAAATCTTGAGTTCTTACAATGTCTTCTTCAAGGAGAGTGTATAAACAGTTGCAAGAGCAACAGGAAAAATTGGTCAATCTTGAGGAAGGTGGAGGTGGAGATGAGGCTTTTGCAATGGAGGATGAGGTTGATCACATTCCCACCGTGTCATAGAAGGCGGAGGGCCTCACATTTCCGCCATGTTATGGAAGTTGTGGGTCAGATAGCCAAATCCAGACGTACCGCAAACATCTATAGAAGAAGGGAAAGACAAGGTAAAAATCTCTTGGAAGATTATTTTATTCCCAACAGCGTATTCCCTGATCAGGTTTTTAGATGTCGTTTTAGAATGCAACGAAGTTTGTTCGACAAAATCATGAATGCTGTTTGCAACCATGATCCATACTTTATGCAAAAAGATGATGCTTTTTATGTTCAAGGCCTTCTTCCCGAGCAAAAAATTACGGCTGCCTTGCGAATGCTTACATATGGAGCATCTGCAGATCAAGTGGATGAGATCGCGAGGATGGAAAAAACAACTGTTCTGGAGTCCCTGATGCGGTTTTGCTCTGCAATTAAAGCCCTCTACACCAATAAGTACCTTCGGAAACCTACGCCAAGGGACATGCGAAGGCTTTTGAGGAAGGGTGAGATGCAAGGCTTCCCTGGCATGATTGGAAACATCGACTGCATGCACTGGACTTGGAAAAATTGTCCAAGTGCGTGGCAAGGAGCTTATGGCGACAAAAAATGAGCCAAAAACATCATTTTGGAAGCGGTGGCTTCATTTGATACATGGATTTGGCATGCTTTTTTTGGTGTTCCAGGAGCTCAAAATGACCTAAATGTCCTTGCCCAATCTCTAGTGTTCGACGAACTGCTGCAAGGAAAAGGGCCAAGATGCACATATTGGGTTAATGGTAATAAATATGAGGGACCATACTACCTTACAGATGGCATTAACCCAAGGTGGTCAACGTTTGTCAAAACAGTGCCACATCCACAGAGTGAAAAAGAAAAACACTTCGCAAAATGTCAAGAAAGGTGTAGGAAGGATGTCGAGTGTTGTTTTGGTATCCTGCAAGCTCGTTGGGTGATTGTCAGGGCCGCAGCTAGAAGGTTTGATGTCGAGGCTCTTTGATCCATCATGATGACGTGTATTATTCTCCACAACATGATTGTTGAAAATGAGTATGATTATAATGCCATCGATGAATACGAACCGATCCGATGAACAACTTAAGAACACAAATCTACTGTGCTCATGACCGAACCGAAGATCCCCTGCAACACGAGCCGTTGGAACGGGATGGACGTTACAATGAATTGATTGTTTAGCGGTACACTTCATTGCAAGAGCTATACTGGCACGTAACCCACCAGAATGACTTAATTGAGCACCAGTAGGGATTGCACGAAGGTGAAGATAATTAAAATGAGGCTTGTGGTTGAAGAATAAAGTGTATTTTTTTTTTTAAGTAATCTTATTTAGTGTGTTTTTTTTTTTTTAAGTTTATATGGTGAGGTTATGTAATTTTATTTGGTGTTTTTTTTTTGGTAAAGTACAAAAAACTATCTCAACTATTGGGGTCACAACAGTTTCATACCTCATCTTTTAAAATTGACAATGTCATACCGCATCTTACGAATTTGTGACAATGTCATACCTCCGTCAATTTTTCTGTTAGTTTTTCTGTTAAATGCTGACGTGGCAAGAGACGGGGACCAGTTTCTATTAAAAAATTATTAAAATATTATTAAAAACTAAAAAAAATGTTTAATATTTTTTAAATATTAAAATAATAAATAAAAGTAAAATTAAAAAAAAAAAGGGTAAAGTACAAAAAACTACCTCAACTATTGGGGTCACGACAGTTTCATACCTCATCTTTTAAAATTGACAATGTTATTCCGCATTTTACGAATTTGTGACAATGTCATACCTCCGTCAATTTTTCTGTTAAGTGCTAACGTGGCTTGATTTGGAACCTAATTTCTATTAAAAATTATTAAAAACTAAAAAACAATTATTTAATATTTTTTAAATATTAAAATAATAATAAAAAGCAGAAAAAAAAACCCTCATTTCGTCCTTCCCCTCCCCCCTCCTCCCTCCCCTCTCCTCTCCCCATCTTCATCTTCTTCCCCCACCTGCAAATCCCAACAAAAAAAAAAAATCCAATTTGTCTTCCCCCACACCCACCCTCTTCTCCCTCCTTCAACCCAGAAAAAAAAAAAAAAAAAAAAAAAAAAAAAAAAACCCAAATCCTGTTGGCAAGAATATGGGTGAGCAGAGAAGGTGGAGGATGGGTGCGGAAGAGGATGTAGAG